GCCATGACGGGCAGCGAGATCCCGATGCCGACGTAAGTTGCGAGGGAGTCGTAGGCGTGAGCGCGACTCCTGGGTGCCTGAGTGTCGAGAGCGCGGCGCTTGAGTAAATGTCGGGATGATCCAACGCAAGAGCGCCATTCTTGAGTAAATCGCAAGCAATTCTCCAGCGAGGCCGCGTCTCCAGAACGCCGGCGAATCGATTCCTGTACAAATTGTAAGGAAGTCCCAAGCGAGAGCGCGACTCCTCAGTCAAATTGGAGGAAGTCTCAGGCGGCAACGGGGGTCCTGGCTAAATCGTGAGGAAATCTACAGGGGGAGCCGTTGTTGTTGCAACCTGGGGGCCAAGGGCACAGTTTGACCCTTGTGTTTTTCAGAGCCCCAGGGGGGAGCTCTTCAATCGAAAAACGCATTGGTCACAAGGGGGGTAAACAATAATTAGTACAACCTTGCAAATTCAACAGCAGCGACGACATCATCAAATTTAAAGCTGTTCGCCCTTATCTGCTCGAGTGTCATTCAACGTATACTTCCCGAACCCTCGATGCCCGCCCTCTTCTTCTTCTTCTTCGATCGTGCCACGTTTATGGGCATGCATCTGGGGCCACGACGGGCACGAACGAGCGGGGGCCACGAAAGGCATTGCAGATTGGGCCGCAGAGGGCAAGGACGGGGCCACTGAGGGCAGCAACGGGGCCACGAAGGGCAGCGAGGGGACCACGAAGGGCGACAGTCGGGCCACGAAACGCATGCATATGGGGCCACGACGGGCGCGAACGAGCGGAGGCTACGAAGGGCATACATATACGGGTCACAAAGGCCAGCGAGAGGTCCACGAAGGGCTGCAACGTGGACACGAAGGGCAACGAGGGGGGCACGAAGGGGTGCAACGGGGCCACGACGGGCGGCGAGGGGGCCGCGAAGAGATGCAACGGGTCAACGAAGGGCAGAGAGGGAACCACGAAAGGCTGCAACGGGGCCACGAAGGGCAGCGAGGGGGCCACGAAGAGCTACAACGGGTCCACGAATGGCAGCGACGGGGTCACGAAGGGTTGCAACGGGGCCACGGAGGGCAGCGAAGGGAACCACGAAAGGCTGCAACGGGGCCACGAAGGGCAGCGAGGGGGCCACGAAGGGCTGCAACGGGGCCACGAAGGGCAGCGAGGGGGCCACGAAGGGCTGCAATGGGTCCACGACGGACGGCGAGGGGGCCACGAAGGGCAGCGATATCCCGATTCCCAAATAAGTTGTGCGGGAGTCCTAAGTGTGAGCGCGACTCTGGGTGCCTGAGTGTCGGGAGCGCGGCGCTTGAATAACTTCTTGGGAATTCCAGCGCAAGAGCGCTTTCCTTGAGTAAATTGCAAACGAGTCTCCAGCGAGAGCGCAACTCCAGAGCGCCGGGAGAACGATTTCTGAATGCATTGTATGGAAGTCCCAAGCCAGAGCGCGATTCATGAGCAAAGTGCGAGGAAGTCTGAGGCGGGAGCGGAGGTCCTGGCTGAATTGCGTGGAAGTCTTAAGCGGGAGCCGTTGTTGTTGTTAATGTTGTTGTAATCCGGGGCCATCAGCGTACAATGGTTACCGGAGAGAAGATCAACAATATTTATTTTTCAACCGTGAGAATTCAACAACGGCTCCCGCTTGATACTTGCTCACAATGTATTCCAAAATCGCGCTCTCGCGCGGGACGTCCTCACAATCGATGCAGGAATCGCGCTCTCGCGTGGGACTTCCTCAGAACTTATTCAGACGCCGCGCCCTCGACACTCAGGAATCACACTCTCGCTGTGCATTGTCGCACGATTTACTTGATAATCGCGCAATCGCTCGAGGCTTCCTCGCGATTCATGCAGGACGCACGCTTCATCAATCCGTTGATTGACCTGGCCGCCTGGGCCCGCCTTCCAGACCGGCCCGTTAGGTTCTACCCGCCCGATCTGCCCTTCTGGTTTTGCCACGTGTTTCCTGCTCCTAGCCCCCCCCCTGCTTCTCTCTCTCTCTCTCGTGCTCCATCCTCCTCCCTCGCCCTTGTCCCTTCCTTCCAGCCGTCCTCTCTTCCCCTGCCCCAGGGGCTGCACGAAAAACACGTTGCAGGTAAGAAAGATATACATCCCCGACGGAGCACGATCGAAGACGAAGAGGTCGGGTATCGAGGGTTCGGGATATACGTGTTGAGTGGCCCGCGAGCAGATAAGAGCGAGCAGTCTTATAATGATTGTTGATGTTGCTGTTGCTGTTGTTGCTGTTGCTGTTGCTTTTGCTGCTGTTGTTGTAAGTGCTAGTGCTAATGCTAGTCTTAGTGTTCGTGTCAGTGTTGGTGTTCGTGTTGCTGCTGTTGTTATGAATGTTATCGTTGTTGCTGCTGTTGTTGTGATTCTGCCCGCTCATTGCTCATGTGGTCTTTTGCTCTGCTCACCCCGTGCGGGCCGGGCCGCCGCACTCGCGGGCGGGGGGGCGGAGCAGACACTGGGGCCGGAGAGAGCACCGTACTGCACCGGCGCGGCGCACCGCGCAAGGCGCCGGGACGAGGTGGGGCGTTCCACGGAGGCGAGGAGGAGGAGGAGGAGGAGGAGGAGGAGGAGGAGGAGGAGAAGAAACAGAGGAGGAGGAGGAGGAGGAGGAGGAGAAGAAAGAGGAGGAGGAGGAGGGGGAGGAGGAGGAGGAGGAGGAGGAGGAGGAGGAGGAGGAGGATCGAAGGAACTGTCATCTCTTCCTCGGCGGACGCCGGCGGAAGGGCCGAAGGGCGGCGGAAGGCCGGCCGAAGTAAGACGAGCCTGCCTCCGCCGGCGGAAGCCGGCGGAAGGCTCGCGGCGGAAGTAGAAAGTTACCCTCCAAGAGATGCCAACGTTTTTGGGTTCAGAGCTTCCAGAATCCACCAGGCAAGGAGCCCGGGCTCCGCATCGCGCGCCGCACATCCGACGCATCGGCGGTGCAGTGCGATCCTGCGATCAGCGGTGCCAGGACGAAGGGCACTCGGGTTCCAGGTCGCGCGCCCCACCACCAACGCATCGGCCGCGTGCGTCGAGGTCCAGCTTGGCTCCGTCTTCGGAGGCGACGATTATAGGCGAGGATCGCTCAGGGGAGAGCATACAGGAATCGTTCTACCATGAAGAACTCCGATTGAGGAACGAAAGGGGCTTTTGTGGCCACGGCGAGCCTCGTCTACGAACTGGTCCCTTGTCCAGAATCCAGGACACAGCCCGAAAACCAGAGACCCTCCCTAGCCCCAAGTGGTCCTTAGCTCAGCATCCTGACTGTACATGTATCGAGGGGCACTGGTGGTAAATGTCTTCGACGAGACGCCCTGGCGACTGCGTGCAAGGCCCGCCCCTGGCGGCTGACCGCTCCTGTCGTAGCCTCTGGCGTCTGCCACCGCCCCGTTTTTGGGCAACCCCCTCCTCCTCCTCCTCCCCCTCCACCTCCTCCTCCTCCTCCTCCTCCTCCTCCCCTCCTCCTCCTCCTCCTCCTCCTCCTCCCTCCTCCTCCTCCTCCCCTCCTCCTCCTCCTCCTCCTCCCTCCTCCTCCTCCTCCCTCCTCCTCCTCCTCCTCCTCCTCTCCTCCTCCTCCTCCTCGTCCTCCTCCTCCTCCTCCTCCTCCTCCTCCTCTCCTCCTCTCCTCCTCCTCCTCCTCCTCCTCCTCCTCCTCCTCCCCCTTCTCCCTGGGCCACCGGCGGGGATCGACTCTTGGATGGCTGTTGGTGCTCCAGCAGGTTCCGGGCGGCGGCGCCGCCGTGGTGGGAAGGCGGCATGCCTCTGGGCAGCCCGGGCGGGCGCGGGCATACGCCGACACTCGCCATCGCTCGGACGTCCTCCAATGTTTTTTTTGGTTTCGTGCGTGGTTTTTTTTCGCCAAATGATCAAAAATGCTCCTCGATGGTCCTCGCCGAAGGAAAAATGCACACGTCCGAGCGATGCCGAGCGACAATGGACTGCGGATCCGTGGATCGGGCGCATGGCGCCAGATCTACGGATCGGGCAGCTGCGGCACGGGAACGTTTGCTGCGCATGTCCCGGCGGGGGGCACTGGCGACACTCTGGGCCGTGCAAGCGGGATCGTGTCGCTCCGCTCCGCTGGGCGGGGTGGGGTGGGGAAGGCTCGGGAGGTTGACGCGTGGGGACTGGAAGTGGTTCATTTGTCGCGCAGAAGCGTGGTGGGCCAGAACCGGCGGCACGACACGCTGAGTCAACGTTCGTGACCGCGCCCTCTGAAAAATCAAGGCCGATGCCGCCCGATCTGCACGGCAACGAATCGCGCCGAATCTGTACGGAAACGGGGCCTGCCGCTGATCCACGTGCCGTCATCAATGTTCGTGGTTTCTCGAAAGCGCTCCCTCACCCCGACGTCTTGCACAAGAATAAGAATGACATGTTCCACAATTGTCAGCCTATTTGGGCCCTCGCCGGGCCCCCGGACGGTCAAAAACAACTGCTCGGGATGAAAAGCCGGCCCTGGGGAAGGGGCCGGAACTTCTAGAAACCCCCTATTGAAAGAATCCAGACATCGAATCTCTGGGCTCGCGATACCCTTTCCCCTCCCCCGAGGCTTCAAAGGCTCCTCCCTGGATGGGGGAGGCTTGGCCCCGCATCCTGGAAGGCTCTCCCCCTTCCATTCTGGAAGCATCCCCCCTTCCTCTTAGAAGCCTTGGGGCATCTTTGGAATCCCATCAGGGGTCGAGCACTTGTTCAGGTCCACCTCCTCCCTCGCCCATCAATCCCCCTCCCCTGATTGCCCTCTCCCTTCCTGGGAGAGGGGCGGCCCGTGAACTCGAGAATTTCCAGCGTTTCTTGTCCGAACTGCTCCGTTCCCTGTTTGGCTTTTGCTGGCCAGAGTGGCTCTCGCGGAAGATCTCGATGGCCTTCCACAGGATTCGAACACCTTCTGCCTGACGCCCGAGTGCTCGGATGGGGGGGGGAATGAGGTGGACCTGTATATTAGTCCTCGTCCGACCTCTGGGCTTCCGCTCTGCTCTGCCTTGGTCCCCTCTTGCGCTCTTCCCCTTCCTGTTCGGGCACGCCCAGGAACTGACCGCAAACGTGCGACGGCACCCCCGGAACGCCCTCGGCGAGGCACAGCTGCCGGAACGCATCCCGAGGCAGGGAAACGCCCAGGACGTGACGAAGAACGCGCGCGACCCTCCCCCGAGAAGGGAACGCCCTCGGCGAGGCGCGGCTGCTGGAGCGCAGGTCGGCCAGGGCCCCGTCGCGAGGCCCGGCCAGCTCCCAGGACCTGGGCCCAGGGAGGGCGGGCCGAGGGAAGCAGCTCCACGTGGCTCCCAAAGCCGGGACAGCGAGAGGGAATGATGACGACGATGACGATGACGATGACGATGACGATGACGATGATGATGATGATGATGATGATGATGATGATGATGATGCTGATGATGATGCTGATGCCGATGGTGCTGATGATGATGATGATGATGATGATGATGATGATGATGATGATGATGATGACGATGCTGATGATGGCGATGGTGATGGTGATGGTGATGATGCTGATGATGCTGCTGATGATGATGACGATGACGATGATGATGATGGCGATGGTGATGGTGATGGTGATGATGCTGATGATGCTGCTGCTGATGATGATGACGATGACGATGCTGATGATGGTGATGGTGATGGTGATGATGATGCTGATGATGGATGGTGATGGTGAAGATGATGCTGATGATGGTGCTGGTGATGGTGATGATGATGATGATGATGCTGATGACGTTGATGCTGATGATCATGATGCTGATGATGACGATGACGGTGACGATGACGATGACGATGATGATGATGATGATGATGATGATGATGATGATGATGATGATGATGATGATGATGATGATGATGCTGTTGATTATTATGTAAGTGAGGCTGATCTGGTGATGATAATGGTGAAAATGTCGGCTGACCCCCGTTAGCGCTGCCCACCGTGACGTGAAAAGGGTGGGTGCGGGCGGGGTCCGGGCCGGGCGCCGCTTTCGAGCCCACCCGGGTGGCCCTCGTCCCGTCGCGCTCCGGCGCGCGAGCAGGAAAAGAGAATGCAGAGGAGCACCACGGGGATGGCAACGATGATCAGCACGGTTGCGGTCGAGGCTGATCCTCAGGAAGCCACGGGAAGGGTACGAGTCTGCAACAACGGAGCACACATTACAGCAGCAACATGGCGACAAGACCGCGGGTCAAGAGCATGAACCCCCTCGCCGAAGGCCCACTGGTCATGGAGATATCCGAAGCGAGGAGCATGCCAAGGTGGGGATCCCAAGGGCGAAGAACGTAGCTTCCAAAGCCAACGGTGCGCTTCACCATCGCGCAAGGTGTACCTCATCCTCGAGAGCTGCACATCGTCACGGCAAAACTGCGCCGCATAATGAGACGGAGGAAAACATGACGGAAAGGGCCCAGGGAGACACAAACCCCAGATTCACCATGTTGTTGCATATTTACTTGAGTTGCCTTTTTCCCGTCCATGTCCAATAACTCCGAACAGAGTTGCCAGCGCGGGCCCAGAACAGTCTATCTATAGCAATCCACGTGCTGTTATACATCTGGAGCAATATATGTGGTGCAACATGCGTGGCGCAATGTTTGGTGTGCTATCTACGATGTGCAATATAAGATGTGCAACCTACGTGGTGCAATTCGCCCTGCCGAACTTACAGATGCAGCTATTCTGGCGCGACCGACGCGGCCGTGGTGGCCCCGACCGCTGGGCACTTCCTGCCACGTCTCGCATGCCGCGCTGACGCGCGGGCGCTTCAATGCGAGTCGGTGTCTCGGGCGGGCGCGACATCATGGCGACGCTGGCGACCGGAGACGCCAGGATGATAGCAACACTGCTAGAGAGGACGATGACGATGACAACGGCATGGCAATACATGCTGTGCGAAATATGTAGTGAAGCATATATGGTGCAATATATGTTGCGCGATATGCGTGGCCCCATATTTTTGGTGCAGCCGATGTTGTGAAATATACGTGGCGCAAAATACGCGGTGCTACCTCTGTTGCTCAATTGACCACCGTTGAAACTGAATTGACAACTCCACTGCTCGCGAAATCATCCCACCCACTCACCCGCAAATTGGTTTGCAAAACCCATGTGACGGCGATTGCGACGAGCGAGCGCTCGGCGTTTGCTGGTGTAGCTCTGCGGCCGTGCTAGCCCGCGCATGCCCGCGGGCGCAGCGGCCAGCTCAGTGCAAGCCGGTAACTTGGAAGGAAGGCCAAGAGTCGAATCGATAAGTCGGATCTGCGGTAAAAATGAATCAGATCGGCGGAAATCGGCAGCCGACTCGGGAAAAGTCGAATCGTCGGAAATCGGCAGCTTAGTATGCCTCCGATGAGACATCGGAGCCCTAATCGGAATCCCAAGTCGGATCGCATCGGGATCGAGAGTCATCGAAGTCGAATCGAATCGAATGGGAAGAATCCAAACGAGCCCTGCTTGGGCGGGCGCGGTATCATGGCGACGCCGACAACGGTAGACACGATGATGATAAAGAGAGAGAGAGAGAGAGAGAAAAAGAGAGAGAGAGAAAGAGAGACAGAGACAGAGAGAGAGAGAGAGAGAGCGCGTCGATGATGGTAACGATAGTGGCGGTGTCGACGGCAAGGCCAATGGCGGTGCCGAAGTTGATCACGCCTGCCGATGATGATGACGATGTCTTCGCGTCGGTGATCGAAATTTTGAAAAGAGTTCGACATGCGCACGCGGCCGACGCGCGCGAGTGGCCGGCGCTGTAATATTTGACACAGATCATGCCCCCCCCCCAAGCACGCGCGCAAGGGCGCTCGGATGAGGTCGGCATCCGGCGCGAAAGGCCCGTTTGCTAGACTTGGATGGCAATGTTGAAACACCGATGGTTTTCTACACAATTCGATAGAACGCGCGCCCAGGCGTTATTGAAAACTGGCGCTGCATAGCAATATTTTCATAGGTGTTCGGGGCACTCGTCTTTTGAATCCTTACGAAGACTTGCGAATACGATGGTTCTTGGAAGATTTCGGCATGCACGCGACGACGCGCGCGCGTGCACTTCGTTTCATTGTTGCAACCAGTTCTTGGGACAGCGCGCGCGCAAAGGGCATCCAAACGAAGTCGACATGCGCGCGAGAAGCCCGTTTGGGAGGATTTGAATGACAATGTTGACAAACCGATGGTGTCCTCGATACCCTTGTTGCGAATTCGTGCGTTTTTGATGTTTTCGGGGCACTGGGTTTGAAATCTCTACGGAACCTAAGTTTCTTGAAAGATTTCAGCATGCGCACGCGACGACGCGCGCGTGCGCACTTCGTCCCATATCTTGGAAGGGATTCTTGGAAACTGAAGATATGTGCCAAACGTGTGCTCGCGCATTCCATCTGTTGCAGAGGATGCGGGTGGGAACAGTTACCGGCTTAGCTGGGATGCTACGAGTTCACATTTCGGATGGGCGATGGGGCAGAATCGCATGTATATTGCAACATGGAAGGGGGCGGTTCAAACCGAGGGGGGGGTATCCGAATCCTTTTCAGAACATGTTGCGCGCATGTTGTGCGATATGTGCCAGGCAGTCTACGTGGCACAATCTATGTGGCGCCACCAGTCTTGAAAAACTTGGAGTTGTCAGCTCCGCTGTTCGCGCAATCATCCCACCCGCCCGCCCGCAACTTGGTTTGCAAAACCCATGCGGCGGCGATTGCGATGAGTGTTTGGTGCTGGCTGGTGCTCTTTGCGGCCGCGCTAGCCCACGCGCGCTCGCGTGCGCAGCGGTCATTCAGTGCGGCGCGACCGACGCGGCCGCGGTGGCGCTGAGCGCTGGGCATTTCTCAGTGCGTCTCGCAGGCCGCGGTGACGCGCGGGCACATCAGTGCGAGTCGGTGACACGGGCGGGCGCGGTATCATGGCGACGCCGACAACGGCAGAAGCGACGATGATAGTAGCGGCGCTGGTGACGATGACGACGGTGACGACGGCAAAGCCAATGATGGCGCCGTTGCCCATCACGCCGATGACGGTGATGGTGTCCGCGTGTCGGCGGTAAAGGTTTTGAGCGGATTTCGACGCGCGCGCGGCCGACTCGCGCGAGTGGTCCACATGGTGTCTTTGACGGAGATCTTGCCCTCCCAGCGCGCGCGCGCGTGGGCCTTCGAATGATTCCGACACGCGCGTGCGAGAGGCTCGTTCGGTGGCAATTGATGACCATCTGACCAGAAAGGTATGTTATGAACAAATCGCAAAACCAAGCGCGCACACTTTTTTGCAACGGATGCTACCAAACCGCGTGTGCCATACGTTTTCAAAACATTCGATCTGGGAGTCATTGCGACACCTGTGGTTTTTATTGCAGGGCTGCGGCATGCGCGCGCGAGGACGTGCGCGCGTGCATTTAGTCTTTTTCTTGTGCGATAAATTCATGAAAACTAATGACTTTTGATGAGCGTGTGCGCGAGCATCGTGTGTTTTGCGCAAGGTGGTGAAGGGGGGGAAGTAGATTTTGGTCTGGCTGGGGCTGGCCCAAAGTTCCTGAACGTATGGTCCGCGTTTTTGGACGGGTCCCCTGGGGAAACCAGCAGGTACCGATACCGCTACTCCCCGGACCTCTCCCGGGGTGCGTTCTCTGACCAGGATCTCGAGGCGGCGACTCCAGCGGTGGCGACGAGGGCCTCCCGGGAGGCCCAAACAAGGGAAAACGGGCGAGGGGGTGGCGTTGACCTAAGGAACCCTAAATAAGGAACGAGGCCACTTTTTTCCACAAGTTAAACTTCGATTTCCCATCGAAAAAATAAGGAAAACCCAAGGCAAGCTGTGAAACAATCAAGGAACACGGAGCCCCTCCCCAACGAAAAGGGTTCCTTCTTCAGGGCCCCGACTGTATCTCTTCCTCCTCCGACGCATGGTCTGCGTTTCTTGGACGGGTCCCCGCCCCCTGGCCTGACAGGTGGCGCGCCCGCTCCCCGCCCAGCAGCAGGCCAGCGTGGAGGCCCAGCGCCGCGAGCGGCGAGCACGCCCAGGCCGGGGAGCCTCGTGATGGGCAAGTTTTCCACCCCCGCTACCATATGTAGGAGGGGGGAGAAGGGAGGATGAGGAAGTCCTCCTCCTCCTCCTCCTCCTCCTCCTCCTCCTCTTCCTCCTCCTCCTCCTCCTCATCCTCCTCCTCCTCCTCCTCCTGCTCCTCCTCCTCCTGCTCCTCCTCGTCCTCCTCCTCCTCCTCGGCCGCCTCCTCCTCCTCCTCCTCCGCCGCCGCCTCCTCCTCCTCCTCCTCCTCCTCCTCCTCCTCCTCCTTCTCCTTTCCCTACATGTGGTAGTGGTGGTGGACACTGGGCCCATCACCTGGGGTGGGGAGGCCGACGAGAGGCGGCCCTCGGCCAGGAAGGCCCCGACCGCCGACCCCGGCCCCGACGCCGACGCCGACGCCGACGACGACCACGGTGACGACGATGACCACCAAAACCGCTGGGAGAACCACGACGACGCCGACGCCGGCGCCGCCGGCGCCGCCGACGACGACCACGGTCGACCACCAGGACGACCACGACAAACACCACGACGACGCCGACGCCGACGACGACGACGACGGTCGACCACCAAGACGGCCAACGCTGCGACGACAACGGCCACCGCCACCCGCGACCGCGTCCGTCAGGCGGGCCCTCCCCTGGCCAGGGGAGGCCCGCCACCCCGGCGGGGTTGGCGCCCCCAGAGAGGGGGAGGAGCCCGCGGGGGGGGCAGCGAGAAGGGGCGGGCCAGGCCCAAAGAAGGCTGATGATGATGACGATGATGATGATGATGATGATGATGATGATGATGATGATGATGATGATGATGATGATGATGATGATGATGATGATGATGATGATGATGATGATGATGATGATGATGATGATGATGATGATGATGATGATGATGATGATGATGATGATATGATGATGATGACAAGGAGGAGGAGGAGGAGGAGGAGGAGGAGGAGGACGAGGAGGAGAAGGGGAAGAGGAGGAGGGGGAGGACGAGGAGGGGGAGGAGGGGGAGGAGGAGGAGGATGAGGAGGAGGAGGAGGATGAGGAGGAGGAGGAGGAGGAGGAGGAGGAAGCTTCTGCCCGTTGGGCGCCCCCCAGGCAAGCCGTTGGGGGGGATTGCCTATCAGAAGAAAATAGCGGGCCTCCTCAGAAGGCTCGGAGAAGGCCTCGGGCCCTCTGGGAAGCTTCTGGAGCCTTGCCCAGAGGCGCAGACTTAAAAAAAAGACTCTTCAGAAGGCCGGAGGGCTTCCGAGACGCCACGTACGACGCCTTCTGCGAAGGCCTTCTGAGACGGCCTCCTGAGGGCGAGACGCCACGACGCCTTCTGAGGGCTTCCGAGACGCCACGTACGACGCCTTCTGAGAAGGCCTCCTCCTTCTCACTTCCCCCCCTCGCTCGCCGCCGAATCGGCGCACCGGACCGATTCGACACGTGCCTCGTATCGGATCGGCTGCGCCGGCACCTGGCCGCATAGGGTCGCCGGAGCACAGCACCGGGGGAGCAGGAGGTCTGTGGCTGTCATCCGGGGAGGGCGAGGGGCGGGTGAGTATAGGGGGTCGGCGAAGAAACTCTCGTACGGTGAGGGCTTTTGACTTGAGGCTTGACCGTGGACATCACAGCCGCTCTCCTCAGACAAGGGCTCCTCCCGGGTCTGGAGCCTCATGAGCACATTTCTTAGCAACTGCTCCCACGGTGGCTGGTTTTCCCAGCGCCCCCCAGCGGCAACGGCGCCAATGTAACGAGGAAGGCTCCATCTGCAGCTGCAGCCATCGTGATACCATCTCTCACCTCCTCTCGCCTTGCAAGCTCACGACGAGCGGCCTTTGAAGGTTTTCGGCCTCCGGGGGGCCCTCATCAGGCCCAGGGACTGGCAAAGAACGACCCAGGATGAAGAGTCGGTCCCGGGGAAGGTTGGGCGCCCGAGTTATCCGGGGTAACTCGGGTCCGGGGTAACTCGGGTTTGGATTCCCGAAAAAGGAACCCGAGTTATCCCTGACCCGAGTTACCCCTGATGATTCTGGGGCTCTGGACGCCCGAGTTATCCGGGGTAACTCGGGTCCGGGGTAACTCGGGCTTGGATTCCCGAAAAAGGAACCCGAGTTATCCCTGACCCGAGTTACCCCTGATGATTCGGGGCTCTGAGAAGGGGTCCTGACCTTGTGGTCCAGTATCACGACGTCGGAGTTTCGTTTTTTCCCTGGCGCTCCTGGCGCCAAGGGCGCAAAGGCACAGAGGAGAGCGCACGGCGGCGGGGCCAGAAACCATCTGCATGCAGCAGACTTCATCAGCAGACTTCGTCAGCCCTCTTTCCTTCCCCGTCCCCAGGCGTCGCCCGACCCAACACAACTAGGGCTCCCAACTTCGCGCTTCGCGCTCCGCGAAGCGCGAAGCGCGAATAACTTCGCGTTCTCGCGCCGCCTCCCCGAAAGGGAGAAAAGGAGGACGAGGAGAAGGGGGAGAAGGAACGAGGACCGCGAAGCGCGAAGCGCGAATAACTTCGCGCCCTCGAGGGCGCCCTTGACACAAGGAGCTGCAGCCAGTGCGCTACGACTGCTGGAGCAAGAAAAACAACACAAGCACACCTTGCCCGAGGTCCGCGCGCGGCTCCGTGATCGAGACTCCACCCCCCATGTCGGCGCCTCCGGCGCCGACCCCACGACTCCGCACCCGCGCGGAGCTCTGAGAATGGCTGCTCACACCGCTGTGTCCAAGCGCGGGTCCAGGAAAGCCGCGCGGAGCGCCAGAAGTTTCCATCTGCTGCGTTCGCTCTTCTCCGAGGCACGGTGGCCTCCCAGAGGCTGCCGGTCGTCGTTGTCAGGCGGGCCTCTTCCCACCTCCGCCGGCGGATCCGAGGCTCCGTGGACCCGGCACGTGGGCGCCGGCTCCACGGTTCGGGGAGAGAGAGCACCTCCCCCGCAACACGAGGCCAGCGTCGCCCAGCTGGGCGACAGGGCGCGCCGACTCTGCATGGAAACGAAGCCCGCCATGCCGTTGATGCACACGCCTTCGCTCATGCTCCCAAAGCTCCGACGTGGCGAAAACGTTGCAGCATCACGGAGAATCGCGACCCGAGCTCCAGACCACATCTTTGTTGCGGCCCTCCTCGGGCCGGACCATGCGGCAGCTGGGCGCAAGCACACCCGCCGCGAAAAAAGATGCGAGGCCCGGATCTCGGGACTTGCGACTCCAGGAAACGCATCCTTTGCGCATCCTCGTTCTGCGCGGAAGCGGGGCCCGCCACGAGTCCACGCACTGCCATCCATGCTGCGCAGAACAAACAACTACATGCACATGATTTCTCGGAGGCCCGCGCGGGTCTTTTTTCCCAAGCACGCCTACCGAAGGCCCTCGTGGCACGGTGCGCATGGCGCCACCGCGCCCACTGCGGCACACCCCTCACGCGTGTCGTGGCCCCACAAGGGAGCCCCACCGAAGGCGGGGCTCACAACTGCGGTACTCACAGCTGCAAATGGTTGGGTTCTTCGCCAGGATACTTGGTCGCTTGCTTTTCCAATGCTCACGCGTCCTCGAGACCCCTGTTTTGGCTGTTGTCTTTTTGTTCGGCCTCTGGGGGCCGTCGCAGGGCTCTGGGACCGTCGAACAGCGACTCAGGAGGACAAGCGCTGGGGAGGGTGTTCACGAGCGCCGAACGTGTCCACATCCATGCCCTCGTGGTCTGGATCCTGGGGCACGATCCCGAGACTACGCGGTCGCAGGAACACGTTCCGTGCGGGACGGTCGCGAACAAAAACGCCCCGTCTCCGAAGGATCGCGGAGGCTCGGCCCGCGAGGCTGCGGACACGAATCTGTCCCCGACCTCGTCCAACGTCTTGATTTTTGTCAGGGGGGGCTCCCCAGCAGCCCCAGCCCCCAGGGCCAATTTTTTTGTTCGTCCTGGGTCGCTCCTCGGCGGTCCCAGGGCCTGGAGGGCCGAAACGCTGTGAAAACCCAATTTTTTTTTTCGTCCTGGGTCGCTTCTCAGCGGTCCCAGGGCCTGGAGGGCCGAAACGCCGTGAAAAGCCACGTCTTATGTTTAGTCCATACGCTGGATCTCTGGGGAGCGCCGTGGTGCCCCACTCTCTTCAGGCGTGTCTGCTGCTGGTGCGTGCTGCTTCACGTGTGCGGACGCCCCACGCCAGGGCCCGAGCAGCGCTGGGAAGGGCAGGCTTGGGCAGGAGCTCGGAGGAGCGAGGTGCACTCGAATGACTGGCAGTCTTGGCGAGAGACGCGGGCGGACACTCTTTGCCCGCCCACCAGGCGTGTCGGGGGCGGCAGAGAGGGGGGCGTCAAAGACGGGGGGGGGGGTGCAAATCATGACCGGCGGCATGTGCGCGGCCCAGCGGGGGGGACTAGGGACGCATTGAAATGAGAAGGGGCGCCATGAAATCTGGGGAAATATCATGGCCCCCGCCATGATATCCACCCCCCCCTGGTCATCACCCCCCTCTTGTCCGCCCACCCGGCGTGGCACGACCACCGGTGCTCTGGACTTCTGCTCCCGCGGGAGCCGCCCTCCGCCAGCGGCGGCACCGGCGCGCCCGCCGCCGCCTTGGGAGCGGCGTTGAGGCGGCCCGGGTGTCTGAGTCGGACTGGGCCCGAGAGAGTCCGCCAAGAATGAAGGGGCCCCAGGACACACAAATAAATACACACAAATGAAAATATGCCCCATATTTTCCGTTATTTTCTGGGTTTCTGTCTTCCCCCCCACTTCCCATAGATTCCCATATTTCTTAGGCATCGAGGATTAATTGTGTCTGTGTGTTTTTTCCCCTCCTGAAAGGAGGGCTGAGGGCAAGTCTGCTCAAAATGGGCTACCACTATTCGCCCACGGTCCCTTGCCCCGGCCCCCGGCCCGAAGACGGCCCCCCGAGGCCGACGAAGGGAGAAGGCCTCCTCGAACTCGAACCCAACACCCTCGGGCCTCCTCCCCCCCTTCCATGCTGGCCAAGGCCAGTGCTGGGACACATCACCCCCCTGGCCGGCTCCAACTGCCGCCGCCGCCCTCATT